TAAGAGGTATTCTGTTGGTTCTTTTAAGGTTCGACTCACCGTTTTTGAACATTTGATTTTGAGTTTCTGATGAGCCGAGAGTGCGTTGGATCTGTTGGGATTCTGTTTTCTTTACAGTTTCATTTTTCAAGTGTTTCTATTTTTATCTCGCAGAGTTACTTTCGCAGCTTTTGAATAGTTCAGTATAGTTGCATCTTGGGTTAAATGCGCACATGTTGATCTCATCATTATAGTTCATTTGGTTGTGTGTATAATTTCATTTGTCGGTTGCCGGTTCACATTGCGTGTGTAGAGTTTAAGTCGATTTTGCTCACATTGCAGTTTGAATACATTGTTTCTTGCATTGTTTTGCTACTGAGTTCATGTTGATAAATCACTATTCTACGTTTTGCTGATGCGATCTCGTGTTTGAATACGATTTATATGTTGCATTGTAGTGAATATTGGACTGATGCAATGGATTAGAAATATTACTCAAGCTTGGTTTGAGCTATGGTTTCGACGACATTTTCATAAAAGGCATGATTACTGTGTTTGCTTGGTCGATTCATTTGTGTCATACCTGCTTATGTTATCCTGTTGCTGTGTGAGGATGTTGTTTGTTCATATTGGTTGCTTAAGAATGCTATCATATGTTAATATGGAGGATATTGTGTACCGTATTCTGATTCACATTAGCTTGCTATTATGTCCGTAATTAATCCTGACATGTGGGCTTGGATACACCTGCTATGCCTTGTTCTAATATTATGTATAAGCTGCTACTGTTGCTTCATAGTCAACATTCAGGTTTGAGAAAACCAGTTGTGCAGTGATATAGACTGCTCTTTTATTTTCAGCTTTCATGTTGGTTCCCTGTACTGCTTTCTTTTTGTGTGATCATTTGCGTGCAGGTTGAGAGGGAATTAATAATATTGGTTCAATTCAAACACCAACAACAACATTGCTACAACTGCAGCAATACGGTTGCGCCATCGCCAGAATTTCGATTATGCAGAGAAGCTTGAAGCATCATTATTTTGGGATCCTTTTGAGTTGTCATCATAAGTCGGTTGAGAGGCGATTAGCGATGTTTGGTTTGTTTCAGTTTCAACAAGCAACTTTGATACAACAATCGACACTGCAACCATGTCAGTGTCGATACATGTACAGCAACAGTTCAACAACAAATTCAGCAATAACAATGTCGCGAAAGTCTCGTCGGTAAATCTTTGAATCCTGGTTCTTTGGTTCAATTATAAGCACTCAATTAGGCTTGGTTGCTACTGGAAATTTGATGTATTTATCATTGTTTATATAGCATTTTATGGTTGTTTTTATTCTAAATTTGTGTCGAATATCCGACGTGACGTCGTTAATATTCAAGGTGTTGTTTTGAATTAACAATATTAGTTCTTGGTTAGGAAACTGTATCTAGCTTTTGTTGTGCTCAAATGTCATTTTCAAAATATATTTCAAAAAAATCATTACCAAATTAATATTTTAAATATTAAACTTCTAAAAAATTATACTTTGAGTTAAAAATATTTTCTAAGACATTAAACTTTTTCTTCAAAACAATTAGTTATGACTAATCTTTCTCAAAACTTTTTTTTTATGGATTTATTTTATATATGAAAATTAAAAATATTTTTCTTAACCAAATTAAACTATCTTCTTAAAATAATTTTTTAAAAACAATTAAATTCTTGGATCTCGCCTTCCTTGAATTTTTTTTAGCGACCGCTCTCGAGGTGCACACCTCGAGTTGTGACCCTTTCGATCTTATTTTCTTAAATACCTAGCGCGTCTAGTCCGAGTACGCTAATTATTTTTAAATTATTTTCATAATTAAATTACGAAAGTATCGAGTTCTTGGAGTCGTGCATTCCTTGAATTCGAGAATGGTTACTATCAAGGTGTACACTTTGAATAGTATATCATTCGAACTTCCGTTCCTCAAACACTTCTTAATTATTTGGACCAATACTTACATTGTCCAACAAACATATTTTATAATTAATTGAATGAAAAAGGTATCGTCGGAATCTAGCATTCCAGTAATATCCCGATTAATTGGTTGCGAGGCCGACGTCTCGTTTATCGATTAGTCGTCATTCCTCCTAAAGTTTTCAACCCATCTAACCTCGTTCCTCACTCACGTGTGATCGAGTCTAAACACTAGTATGTTTCTAAACCATACGTCAAATTCAAATCATTTTTCTTAATCAAATTACGAAAGAACTGAGTTCTTGGAGTCTCGCACTCCTTGAATTCTTGAATGACAACTATTGAGGCGTACGCCTTAGGTAGCGTGTCATTCGACCTTTCGTCTAAAACACGCGCCTTAACTATTTGGACAAGTATCCATTGTCCATTCAAATACAATTTTCCAATTAATTGAATGAAAAAGGTGTCGTTGGGATCTAGCATTCCAATAATATCCCGACTAATTGGTTGCGAGACTGACGTCTCGTTTATCGAGTAGTCGTCATTCTCCCTCAAAATATCTAACCGACCTTATCTTCTTCGCCTCCGTGCAATCGAAACCCTAACTACCTATTCAACTTAACTCTCTCTTTCTCGCCCCCGTGCGATTGAACTATCCTCTAAACACTAAATTCCTCGCCCTCGTGCGATTTCCAACCAAAATAACTCTTCTCAAAGAACATTGTTTAGTTCCTTTCTTCCGCGCATATGAACTCGTGCTTCAGCCTCCCCTAGCGAGCAGACAAGCCAATGTTTAGCAGTTAGAATGCGACCTAAACTCTCGTTCAACTCATACACCTTTGACCAAGAACATTGTTTAGTCCTTTCTTCCGCGCATATGAACTCGTGCTTCAGCCTCCCCTAGCGAGCAGACAAGCCAACGTTTAGCGGTTAGAACGCGACCTAAACTCTCGTTTATTCCAAACACAAACCCTTAAACCGTAGTTAGCCGAACTACGGCTGCTCTGATTTCTCATTTATCAATGAGAATACGTAGGCACAAGATTGCGATGATCTTGGCGAGCACAATCCCCTCCTTTTCCCGTAGTCCCACGAACTACGAATGCTCTGATTTTCCACTTCTTACAAGTGAAGATACGTAGGCACAAGGGCCCCAATCCTTGGCGAGCACCCTATCTTAAAACCATCCATTTCCCTGTAGGAGAATCTTTAGAAGAAAACAAACAAGCGTAGATAACTTTACTCTCGAATCGAATCAAGAGGTTCCCGTTGAGTACAACGGACGTAGAGGGTGCTAACACCTTCCCTCTGCGTAACCGACTCCCGAACCTAGAATATTGGTTGCGATGACCATGTTCTTATCTCCTTTAAGGTTTTATCGATATTTTCCTATTCCATCCTTGGAATGAATAAAGTTCGGTGGCGACTCTGTTTCGAACAGCATTTTTCCGCGTCCATCGCGAGGATCGCATTTTTCGAGGTACGACACCAACCTATGCTTCATGACATACTTCTTGGTATTGAGTTTTACAAGTTCAATAAGGGAATGCTCATGCACCAAAGAAGGTATGTGCTTGAGATTTTGAAGAAGTTTGAAATGGAGCATTATAATGCTGCCATTACTCTGGCTAAACCGAGGCTGCAAATCTCAAAGAATGAGAATGAGAAAGATGTTAATCCAACTCAGTATAGGAGGATGATTGGATCCTTGCATTACTTGCGCAATACGCTACCGAATTTAGCGTTTAGTGTCGGTGTTCTAAGATACGTCAAATGATTTATTGATAGCGGAACTCTCTTTCCCGCAATGGACAAGGGAAGAAAATGCAATTTACTCGGATTTACCAATTAAAATTAGTGCAGAGATAAAGATGATAGAAAGTCTACCAATGAATACCTTTTTATGTTCGGTGAAACACCAATATCATGGTGTTCTATGAAGAAACCGATAGTGACACTCTCTTCTTGTAAGGCTAAGTACATTGTCGCTTCATTGTGTGTGTGCCAAGTCGTGTGGTTGATGAATTTGTTGAAGGAGCTAGGAAACGAAGAGGGTCACGTTGTAACACTAATGGTTGAAAATGTTTTCGCTATAAACCTTACTAAGAACCCAATTGCACATGGGAGGAGCAAATATATTGAGATGAGGTTTCACTACTTGAGAGAACTTGTCAGTAAAGAAAGGTTAAGATTGGGGTATTGTAGAAGTGAAGACCAACTGACTGATTTGTTGATCCAGAGAGTCACAATTGAAGTGTTCAAGAGTGAGTTAGTGCAACCGGTTGACATAATATGTCAACCGGTTACATTCAGAAAGTTTTCAGTTTTATTTATTAGTTAATTATACTTTATCTTGTATTGTCTATAAATACCCTTGCGATATCTCATAATGAATTAATGCAAAATTTCACTCTCAATTTTATTCTCTCTAATTCTCTTTCACTCTCCACGCTCAATTAATCAATTATTCGACAATTTTATAATTTTAAATTCTAACACAATTTAAACGCGTCTACATGGTAGCAACACAATTCGAAACACACACCAAGTGTGTTAAAATGTGTCAGGTATATAGAGACTATTTTTAAAAATAAAAATAAAAACTAAAGAAACTATAGTCATAAGAGAATAACAGATTCTCTAAGAGATTCTGAGATCTTAAACAAATGAATCAGATTCTTGCTTAAGAATAAAATCTATATGAAAGTCAAGAGTTTCTTCATGTGAGCCTTACAATTCTTAACAAAGCATAATTATCATTAAACAACCATTGATATTTTGTACTACAATCAACAGAAGCTCACTTATGTCTCTCTAAATTCAATGCAGATTGATGGAGAAAGAAAGCATTAAGCTTGTTAACTTGACAAAGAATACTATCAAATCTCTTGCAAACTTTCAAGTTTGGTGAAGGTCATAAATTTCCCTAAGAATAGAAAGAGTAGTTTGCAAGACATGTCATTAAACCTTTCCCTTCAACTCCAACTTTAACATATCTTTTATACACATATATATTCTTATTCTGATATCTTAATAGTTCACACTTCCCTTTTGCATTCTAAAATCAGAAAATGAGTCTCAAAAGCAATAACTTGTTATCTCTTTTGGTTCCCATTGCTGCAATTTTTGCATCTTTGTATCTCATCAATCCAAATCCACAGTTTTTCACATCTTTGTCTCCATCATCTATTTACTTTGGAAGAGACCACCATCATCATAGGCCACACAAAAAAAAACCTGACTCTGAGAATAATGATTCTGTTTGTGATGATTTTCCACCAGGAATTCCACCTCCAAACACCAATACAACTTCTTATCTTTGCGTTGATCGAAAAGGGTGTTGTAATTTCACAACAGTACAACAAGCTGTTAATGCAGTTCCTGATTTCAGCTTAAAAAGAACCATAATATGGATAAACAGTGGCTTCTACTAGTAAGCTAGTTTTATTTAACAATTCAACTTTTTCTAGTATATGTTTTGTTTTGGTTTGTTTCATTTTATCAATCATATTCATGACATTTTTTTTAATATTTGTCAGTGAGAAAGTCATGGTTCCAAAAACCAAACCAAACATTACATTTCAAGGACAAAGCTACACTTCAACTGCACTTGCATGGAATGATACAGCAAAATCTGCTAATGGCACATTTTATAGTGGTTCTGTACAAGTTTTTGCCTCCAACTTCATTGCTAAGAACATAAGCTTCATGGTGATCATCAATAGTTTTTTTCATTTATATAATTCATAAATATTGAAACAATACACTAACAAATAATTTGGTTTAACGAAATGAAAAAGAATTTAGCGCCAATGCCAGCTCCCGGGGCCGAAGGAGCACAGGCAGTAGCCATGAGGATATCAGGAGATCAAGCTGAATTCCGAGGCTGCGGATTCTTTGGAGCTCAAGACACCCTTCATGATGATAAGGGTCGTCATTACTTCAAAGATTGCTATATACAAGGATCCATTGATTTCATCTTTGGCAATGCAAGGTCACTCTATGAGGTATACATGTCCTTCCTATACATTATGCCATGTTATTTCAGTAGCACAGACACCTCTGAAAAATGTGTGTCTGTGTGGTGTCTGGTGTCTGTGTTTCATTGACGGTTATATAATAGTTGTAAAAGTGGCAACACCAACACTAATGAAAATCATGCTATATTTGGTTTATTTACAGAATTGTCAACTAGTTTCTATAGCAAATCCAGTACCTCCAGGACAAAAGAACATAAACGGCGCGATTACCGCTCATGGTAGAGTTTCAGGAGATGAAAACACAGGATATGTATTTGTGAACAGTACAATAGGAGGCAATGGTAGAATATGGTTAGGTAGGGCATGGAGACCATATTCTCGTGTCATATTTGCATTCACAGTTATGTCTGATATCATTGCACCTGAAGGTTGGAATGATTTCAATGACCCTACAAGAGACCAGTAAGTACAAACTATAACAACAAGATACAAATATTTCAAAGATATTAATTGAAAATTAGTTTTGTAATAATGTGAATATATATAATGCAGGACTATATTTTATGGAGAGTACAATTGCTCTGGGCCAGGGGCTAATGTGAATAGCAGGGCCCCTTATGTACAGAGATTGAATGATACACAAGTTTTTCCATTCCTCAATACAAGTTTTATTGATGGTGATCTATGGTTGGAAACTTAGGAATAAAACTGTTGATCAGCTAATCATCACATGCTCTCCTTGATCATTGCTAACTCTTTTTCCATTCTTCTAATGTGTAAAAGTTGTATACATTAATAATTAGATGAGAAAGAGAACCATCATTTTAAATTGCTTTTTGTTTGAGTATATTTTTAGGCTAAGAAAAGTCATTAAATATCATTTACAAATAAATGTTTATTGAGTATAAAAATTGGGTAGTGTTACATATACAAATAAATGTTTTTTGAGTATAAAAATTTGGTTGTGTTACCCTAAGTAAATTCTCTTGAGAATCAAAGTTTTGAAAATCAGATCGAACCGTCTGATTTGATTGGAAATTGAAGTTGAATTAGGTAGGTCAACTTTTTAAAACAGTTAGTAAATTAAAATCGAAGTTAAATCGAAAAAATCAAATTGAACCGTACAAAATTATTCGAACAAAGAATGAGAGTTAGTTTTATAAAACCGTCTCGTTCATAAAAAATCATCAAATTAACCTTTTTTTTTAAATTTTAATATGTTAACATACATTCTTCAATCACAAAAAAGAATTTCGTATCTTTTTTATAATCATACAAACTTTTAAGTTTTGTCACTCCATTATAGTTTTTCTTTCAACCATACTCCATTGTTATCATGTCGTCACTCTCAAACATAATCACGATATCCAACTCAATATTGATTATCGTTCAAGTCAATATTGTTTGTTGTTGTCAATATTGTTTTGGTATTTTATGTTATTTAATAGGTATTCTTAATTATTTGAACTTTATTTTAGTCATTATATTCTTTTTTTTATTATTTTGGTTTGAATTAGTTTAATTTATTTTATTATAATTATTTTGTTTGGTTAAAATATTCTTAAATGATGATTGAAATGAAGTGTAGAACTATGTTATGTTATATATGATTGATATTGTTGTATTAAATTTGTAATGGATTTTTGAAATATTTATTTTATTAAGTTGTGAACATATAATTATGTGTGACATATCTATGAAATTTAATTTTATATTATTAATTTATTTAATAAATGATTCCACAGTAGATTTAACCGGTTTAACCTATTGAACCTTAAACTACAAATTTCATAGGTTCGATTTTTAAAATATTATTGAAAACCTCTTAAATTTAATAATTCAATATATAATTAAATATGATAAAATTAAATTGCATTAAGTAATATGGAGAACAAAATAAGATATTATGTAGTTAAGTGGGATAAGGTAACAAGTCTCGAGGAGGATGGTGGTCTTGGGCTGAGAAAACTTGACAAAACGAATAAAGCATGCATATGGGATGGAAGATCAACGATAATTCAGATGAGTTATGGTACAAAGTGCTGAGGAAGAAAAATAACTATACTGGTCCCTAATGGAAAGTAGTCTATCATTGTTTATGGATTTGGAAAAATAAAGAAGAGTATGAAGAAATTCAATTTGTTCCCATCCACTTAATCCTAGATGTTATGTCATGCAAGCGGTGAAGGATTATTACAGTGCAAAATCTCAAAATGAGTGCGTGTTTGCGAAAGATGAAACTATGGAGGTGATATGATGGAAACCTCTCTTGAGTAATGTTTTCAAACTCAAGAGAGGCACGTAGAGACTGCACAAGAGCTGGTTGTAGTGGGCTCATCAGAAACAATAGAGGTGAGTGGATAGGTTGTTTCTCCAGACATCTTGATAGGTAGAGTGCATTTGTTGATGAACTATGGAGGATTTTGATGGTTTGAAGCACAACTATAAATTAGACTTTCATATAACGGAGCTTAATGTGGACTCATTGGCGGTAGTGAAGGCTATAGAGAAAGGTGTTTCTAATAGCATGGATAATCATGGGTTATTAAGACAAATCAAGAGAATAATAGAGATGCATGATGAGGTGTTAGTGATCCACTCCCATAGGAAAGCAAACAAGTGTGTGAACGCTTTGGCAAAAAAGAATGTAAAAACAATGTTTTAAAATGAAAAATTGACAAAAATAAGTAAATTGAATTTATATTATATGAATTTAATTAAAAATTTGGTCCCTCTATTTTTTTTTTCCTCTAATTTTAAAATCTGAGATTTTAGTTTTTTTTTCTTCTGGTTTTTAATCTCTTTTAAAGTGAGACTAAATTTTAATGACATGACATTGGTAGTGATTATATATGTCATTGTCACATTGACCAAATTTAATTTCACATAATTATTTTATATATTTTAATTGATTTATTTATTTTTTAAAAATATATTCAATAATATTAGTAAATTATTATTATTATTAAAAATAACAAAAATTAATACTATCCAATTAAATTATTTTAAATTATTTTTATATAAATATTATAGAATGTATTACTTTTATAATAATATATTAAAAAATTAATAATATTAATATTATTTATAACTAAGTGTTTTGATTATATAGACAATTTGAGTTAAGTTACTCTAACCTAACATAATATTTATAAGGTTTAAATCAATTATAATAGTTACTCTAACCTAACATAATATTTATAAGGTTTAAATCAATTATAACAAAATTTTGAGGTTCGTATTAGTATTTCAAAACTAAATGGAAAAACAGAAACCAAAAAAAATAAAAATTAAATTAAATTAATTGTTCAAATTTTTATTAAAACTTATTTATATTATTTGCCAGACCAATATTGAATATATATATATATATATATATATATATATATATATATATATATATATATATATATATATATATATATATATATATATATATATATATATATATATATATATATATATATGACTTTTATATTTAATTCTGATACTACCTCTGTTTTAAATTATAAGTTAATTTATAAAAAAATATTTGTTTCAATTTATAAGCCACTTTAGAATTCTAATACAATATTAATTATTTTTTTTAATTTACTATTTATTATTTATTTTTCTTTATTCTTCTTATTCCTTTAATCCGCATTTTAATATAATTAATAAATAGAAGTTTATAAAATCGCTGATCATTTTAATTTTTTATAAAATAATAATTACATCTTTTAAACGGTGTGAAATGAACAAAACGTCATATTATTTGCAACGTATGAAATATTTAAGACTAAAATATATGGAAAAAAAACAAATAAAAACAATATATACAACGAAGGAGTGTCATGAGCTTGATTGAAGGTGTCAATAATTGGGCAAACAAGAAAAATCAACTAAACAATATATGAAGAAAAAAATTTTAAATCATGTTTAAAATTGGGCAAACAAGAAATGATATATCTTTTTATAAGAAAACGACCAATAATTATGTTTTATATGTTATCATAAAAATTTAATAATAAATAATTAATCATATATATAATAAATTTTTAATATTCAATTATGAAAATAATTATTATTTAAATATTATATTAATAATTTTTAATATTTAAAAATACATATTATTTAAAGTTTATATTAAATATTAATGGTTAACAAATATTATATATATATATATATATATATATATATATATATATATATATATATATATATATATATATATATATATATATATATATATATATATATATATATATATATATATATATATATATATATATATATATATATATATATATATATATATATATATATATATATATATATATATATATATATATATATATATATATATATATATATATATATATATATAATTTAATTTACAAAGATCATACCCAAATTTAAAAAAAAAAATTCTAGGTGTTAAACTGCGGGCTTGGTTCAAAATGGGCCATATTATACCATCAAATACGTGTTATGAGGTATGGGAAAGAATGAAGTGAAACATTTGGATTTTTCGTTGAGCGTAATCATTTAAAAGCCACAAATCGAAAACACTAAAATTGTACCAATAGACATGGTAAAGTAGAACATGAATATAACCAATTTAAAAATAAAGAAGATACAGTTAATAAATAAACAAACAAGAGAATAAAACAAATTTAAAAAATAAAGAAGATACCGTTAATAAATAAACAGAGTGAAAATAACAAGGCATGAGAGTATGAGTTTAAATTCCACTAGAGACACAAAGTTTTGTTTTATACTCACTAATCATTAATTCTTCAAAATTTATATAATAATTCATTCTATAAAATTTATATACAAAATCATTTAAATGGATAATATTAATTTCTGTTATTCTTTTAGAAATAGAATTATATATATTTATATAACAAAAACAATTATGTACAAGCGACTCGTCGGATTCAGCTACAAACAAAAAAGAAATATAAAAAAGAATACCCAAACTATCTCAACATCAATTGAGCAACATGCTTTGGCAGCTTGGGCTTCATCTATAACATGTATATTCACTATTGTATCTATCACTATATTTCCTATGTAATGAGTATACAGATTGTTCTTGAACACCATCTTATTCCTCAGCTTACAGCGCTCATACACAGTTTCGGCAAAAGCAGTCCTCAACGCCTTATTCATCTAATTCTAACCTTTGCTCCTTTGAATCATCCAATCCAGCTCAATTTACCAACTATCAAGTTTATGCTGCACCTGGAGCCACTCAAGCACTTGTTGCCACACTACTTTCATACAATCACATTCAAACATTAGGTGATCCAAAGTTTCCACCTTATTACACATGTTGCAGCTATCATCCCCAATCAGCCCAAACCTCTTCATTCTTTCCTTAGTTGCTAACCTGTCTTGACAAGCAAGCCACAAGATAAATTTGGCTCTTGGTCTAGCCATATTATCATAGAACAACCTTCTCCAAACAACTGGTTGTTGTTGATCCAGAAATTCATAGTACATGTCCTTGACCATGAACTTCCCATATTGCCTTATTCCAGGCCTGGCTGGTACTCACATACTCTCTGTTCTGCAGGATGTTATTTAGAATCCACGAGCAGCTGCTTTTGATTGGAGCTCTCATAACATCCTCTTGCTTCATGTGGTAAGTATGCACCAATCTAATCCAAAGGCTATCCTCTTTACAACAAATATTCGATTGCAGTTTTGTCA